TGTTTCTTTGAATGCTAGAAAATTTTCTCAGTTATGTAGACGGTATCTGCTCTCAGACTACAAAATGACTACAAGAGCAAACGATAGAGCAAGTACTTGAAGTTGAGTTTAATTTTCTGTATAATTCGCTAAACGGGGCCGGATGACAGCAGAACTCGTTATCCCCAGTACTACTGTGATCATTTTGAATTTAAAAGAAGATTACTCCGAGATGAATTATTGAAATCTGACCGAAACGAGTTATTGAAACCTGTGCTGTCTCAGTAAGGAAGATGCCCTTTCTGATCAACTCGGTCGATGCTTTCAGGAATTTAATGGTCCTTGATTTAGGTGACTTTCTGTTCAGTCTGAACTTATAATGACAATCTCCACGTTGTCGAATCTTCTTCGAAGGTGAGATATATTATTATAAAGAAAAGTGCGAGGATTATATAAATCATGTGACAAATCCCGGTTGCTTTCTTCATTAGCCACGTGCGTGTAAATAATATAGAAATTTTCTATTAAATTAATTTTTCAATAAATTTATACATAAACATTTATTTACTCTGTTATAAAATTGGAAATAAAATATAGAAGGAAATGCTACAATATTTAAAACAATTCACAATTAGTTTAAATAAAAAAATACGCTACCAGTTAATATTAACAATTTCGAAATAATTTCAATTCGCTTAAAATATTCGATTATCTGTTGATATCTAATTCCAATCGGATATATAATTAAATTAAAACCCTATTAAAGCTCTTTTTCTATTCGCTCAAATGACGTTGCACTTGATTTGGCGACTCGGCAAATGCGAAATCTGTTAACATAGTAGCTATTATTTCATTACGGGGAACGGGACTCCCTTTGTCAATTTTCCACCCATAGTCTTTAACTATGCACGAATTCCTCGCTGTTGGACAACTGTAGAAAACATTTCCAACGAACGTGTCACAACTTTCGTACATTATTCGACACTTTTCTTATTCTCGATAGCCGATGCTTTTAATGGTTTATAAAGCAGGCAGTCCGAAACGCGAATTGATTGAGTTTTATGGGTTAACAGACAGTACTCTGTCGAGCCCGCTCCTATATCACGCCGACCTACCAACTCTGATTTTCGACGTGCCCAACTGTTCCCAATTGAAGCTTTCCTCCATCTTGAAACTACTAATTGACTGTGAATTTAACAGATTGAGACACGACAGTTAACCGACACTCTTCGTCATTTCTTCTGACCCATCTTTCCTTCCACCCACTTTCTTTTCCCGGCTTCCCATCTTGCTCTGGGCAGCTTCGGGGTCGATACTACTATCGCACTTTACTTTCCAGCCCCGGGCTCTTTACCTTTCTTTCTCGCCTTGTTCCCACCTTTGGGAATGAAGGCCACTTACTCGAGCTTTTTCTCTTTGACCTACTGCTGGCATCGACACGCAGATCCGTAATCCCTCAGCACGAAACACGATAAGCAGTGAGTTACTCTTTTAAGATTTACGCCACGAACACAGAACAGTGATCATGATTCGGTCAGTCTATTAGATCATATTATATCGTGATCGATTTCGAACCAAGCTCAAGTCTTTGATCTCTCAATAGTTTGTTTATAAAAAAATATAATCGCAATATGACGTTGCTCACGCGAAGTGACCTTTCACTATCGCACTCGTATCTTTTTATAAACTCGCAGAATGTAAAACTGTAAATGGTTGAAAAACGATATCATTTTTTAAAACAAAACCTTACGTATTTGAAACAGCTTTGGAAACATAGATGCATCGCGGATATTTTTTATCGCTTTCACGTCATTATTTTTTTTTAATTTTACAAAGCATTGTACGAATGGATCTGTGTTATGCATCGCGGAGAGGTTCAATTTCTGGAATAAAAAAAACTATGGATATATACGCAGACAGAGCGTTGCATATAGAGAGCCGAAATAAATAACAAACCGCGTCGCCACTGAAAATGATTCTATTCTATTGTATTTCCGTATAATACCGAATTTCAGTCTCTTCACGCTTTTTTTACCCATCTACTTCTGACCTGCTACCGAGCAGCGGCAAAAGTTCGCACAAGCTGTGGTAACCGACATATTTGGAGCAGCTCACAACTAGTTCGCGAAAACAGATTGTTAGTTAGTTACTTCATGATACTTTCTGACGAATGCATTTTAATGATGACTTGCAAAGTTGCTTGAAATATATTCCGACTGTCAAATGATACGGACATCTTGGAAAGCTCTGAAATAATTTTACTATAAACTCAGACTCACGATAATGATGATTGAATAAATAAATATAAATAAAAGTGTCTATAAAAGTATAGATAATGAATAAATAATTAAAAAAAAAGACGACAAATACGAATCATACGCGATTGTCAGGGCACAGAAATAAATTTAATACATAGAAAATTTAATTATATACGTATACCTAATATCATAATGTTTCGCCTTATATTTCGAAATAATTTATTTATTAGATTTGTTTAGTTATTTTTATCGTAAAAGAGTGTAAAAAGGATAATACAAAGTCCGTGAAAGATTGAAGAAATGAATAATTGATAATTTCCTTTTTTTTCACTCCGTATTTTTAGAATCTTTTTTTCTTACGATGCAATACAATGCAAAATGGATATCCGGTCTGTATACAGTTGAGTGAATGGGGGCAAGTAGTCATATATGGTTATATAAATTTGTCTTTCTTTATTGCACTTAAGGATCATTAATAATTTAATTGTCCTCGATTAAATACGATAGCCAGTAAGTAATTTATTTGCCACATTGTGAAATCATTTCGCTCTCACCGAAATCACTTAAATCTTACTGAATTAAGCATTTCCTGATCGCACATGCGATTCTACTTCTCGTTTATTAACGAAGGTTACCAACGAACGTGAAGGAAGAATCTTACGATCACGAAAAGGTTTTCGCTCAGAGAAATAGATAATGTCGCGATTAATCGACTACTTGTTGAAATAACGGTGATTCCTTTTAGCGGCAAGACTATCAAGTTCTCGAATTCTCCCCTCAAGGGGGAGATCTATCTATAGAGCATGTACATCCTAAATTATGCATAATCTGTACACATGGCGCACTGTGGATTGTATACAGCGGAAACGGACATGCATCATCTATACATATACAAATGTGTTGTTCCTGCATGTATTTATATTTCATGTCCGCTTGTTTAGAGCATGCTAAATTTACGGTAATAATTATCTGCATTGGATTAAATACGAGTTAATTTTAACAAGGCTCGATGAGCTCGAGAAATATAAAAAATATTGTAAGCTTATTCCCGGGATAAAATTACACTGTTCTATAAAGATGAATGCATTCTCCCTGTAAATGGAAGCTCGCATTCATCTTATTCCTTTCAATTTTAATCTTTACCTTTAATATACTTTTCATATCTTTCATCGCGTGGCGCGAATGCATTTCTATGCTCCGCTGCATGTTGCACATCACTTCAGAAGTGAAATTAAAGACCTCTACGCAGCAAATTTTATCCTACACATATTATATGTATATATCATTAATCATATCGTATCTTATATAGCTAAAACGAACGCTTTACTCAATAGTATTATACACGAAACATTAACATTTGAATACTTATTAATTCTTAAATTCTTATTTTCGGAAGAAAATTTTGATGAGAAACACATTTTCTTTCAATTTCTAAACAAGAGCACACAGATTTAGATTTTAGTATTAAACAAAATAAACTCTCCTTGTTTTTGCATGATAATTTTTTATCTTTGACAAATTTTGTGTAAACAATATTTATATTAGATACATATGTATTTATATTAGATACATATGTATATTAGATACATATGCATGAAATTATTTTTTTTAAATTAATTAATATTTTGATTATTGTAATGAAATGTGTACTCGAATTGTGAAATTCTCGTATAATGTTATTGAATAAAAAAGATTGTGTTTTGTTTTTTTTTGCACGATGAAGAATTGACATTTGCATTTGCATTGCAAGCCACTAACATGATAGATTAATAGCATTTATAAAAACTTGGAAGGACACACGCTGACAGGCTGGTTAGATTCGAACGTCTTCTAAGTAAATTAATGAATCATGTTGTTCTCTTAAGGTTGGAGATTGTAGAAGTAAGTCCGTAGTACATATATCTTGACAAAAGCGACAGTACTGTATACAGTATGTACGTTTTGTAGAATTAGCTAAAAGGTAGAACGTAGCTGCATGCAACGAACTTTAATGTATTTTGCGATTATCTCAAAGTTGCATTTTCAATCTCGCCGATTTATGCTGAGATTTTCTAACATTGTAGAAATCGAATAAAGAAGAAGTTTGATATGCGACTCATGCAGATCGACGTTTTGTAAATGTCTTGCGCTCGGCCTAGCGTAAAATAAGAACAGACGACGTCGAGCGACATTTTCCTATTGTCTGATCGCAATCGGAAACTCGGCGAAGCGCGGAATTTGTTGCGAGCGTTGCAAAATTTCCTCAAATGCAACGAACCTGCTCTGATATAATGTGCGGTGGCATTAATGTACATAGTAGTAAAGCCAAGTCAATATTCAACAAAACAATTCAGACACACTATAAACGTTGTAATTAGTGTGGTCAAACATGATCTTCGCACGTCTATACGACATATCTATACTTTTTGTCCTTAATACAGTCACTCCAACGCTAAAATTATTCCTATGTTTATAATTGTTAAATTTCTTAAGTATCTTTCAATGAAACTGTACTCGTTGCTATAATACTGCACCTATTGAACATAAATCGCATAACAATACTTACTCGATTGATATCATCAAATACACTTTTTATCGACTAATATTCGCGTAGAATTAAGAATTAAATCTCTTATTGCTTCATGTTTAAAATCTTATAAAAATTGCATTGCGAAAGAACGCCATGCATTTTCGTTGTAAATTCGACTACGAGATGATTGCACAGTTAAGAGCTAATGCATCGTGCTTCTGCCCTCATTAACCTGCATCTCTGGTGCTGTTCAGGCAAGGTGGACGAGAAAGCGACGCAGTTACATGCGATAGCGTCACTGAAGGTGCTGCTGGATGCCACCAGACCGCATAACGGCGCCGCGACGTCGACCGCCGCCCATTACTCCGGCGCATCCTCGAAGGAGACGACTCTGCAGCTGCAGCAGGGCTCACAAGGCACCACCACTACCACCACGACTACGACGACCACTGCCGGCACCACTGCCGGTATTCAGGAACTTCCGAACGGCGGTATCGCCGCTGGTCTCGACGCTGGACTCGATTCGGTAAATATCGAATACAAGAAATATCACGCCAAAAGTCTGTGCGACTATCTATCAGTTAATTTTTATTCATCATTTTAGCATCGTTGCCGACATTATTTTGTTGTAAATTCGATTATTAGGATTATTAGTCTTTAATCCTCAACTACTCAACGACTATGAAAACTTTATTTGTTAAGTTCTAAACCGTTCTGTTTAAAGTACAGAATATGAATCTCCTTATTGATACGGGAACGTTCAAAATTTTTTTATTTACAATTTGGAACTTTATTATACTATAATCGTACAGATTGCACAATTATCCAAAAGTTTTCATTTGGCTTCAAATAACCCGTTACTATAATCAAGGGCTAAATAGGCAGATAATTTAAAAATTGGTAAGTGGAGTACTCAGACTATCGCAAAAATATTTTAATTTTATAGTTATATTTTTTAATAGTATTTTATATAATTTAATTAATTACACCTTTATGAGATAGAAGAATGTAAAAATACAATGAACTTTAAGACTTCTAGGCAACTGCAATAGGCAATATTTTATATTTTCCTTTTCCAGAACAAGATTTAAGAAAAAATCCATACTTGGAATGTTATGTTTACCCCACCTACCCCCTTAAAAGTTAAAACTTCATATAATGATTTTCGTATAATAATTTTTTTTTATCTTCAAAATTTTAAAACAAAACTTATACGATTTTGTAAATGTAACGAGACGTAGCGAAAATTATAAACGTTTATGTCGTTTAATGAAATCGATCGATATCATCCCCGAGTTATAAATGATTCTCTTAACTCTTTATTTCTGCAAGTGAAGGAAAGCTGAAAGAATCGCGTAAACGAGTAGAAGAATCTACGATTCGATTCGTTACAGGGTGCACCTCGATTCGAGAGATTGGAATAGTTTCGGCATTTCCCATGCTGCGCGCCGTCGTAAAACAAAGAGGCCGAGAACACGTTGATTGGAATTTGTCGTTCCACTTTTCTTGACAAAACGTTCGATTTGCTGGTATCTGTCGTCACATTTCTCGTGACTCGTTTGAATACTTACTATTTTCCGATGATCTTGCAAGAATATTTCAAGAGAAAAATAACTTTCAACCAAGGATAAATTAGTACGATAGGCTAATTTTAGGATTAGTATAACTTCGCAATGGCTGTCGCGTTCCTCGGAGCACGCGTTGCAAAAGGGCACGTTAGTTCGATATCGTAACGTTCTACTTTCCATTGTGAAATGTTTGCTTCTATCACGACTTGGATATCCTGAATTAGAATAGGCAGTTTAATTCCCACAATACTGCGAATCACGCGAAGTAATCTTTTTTAACTTGCACGTCGAACGTTGTTATGGATGTAACACTCTATATTGTATATTTTGAAACTTCTCCAATTTATCGTACACTTTCACTAGTATAAAACTAGTATAAAACTAAGACGATACAACCTTAAAAGTGCCAACAATTTATTTATAAAGAAAAACTAGAATAAGGTTAAAAGAATCAAAACGAAATCGCAATGAATTAATCAAAGTGTGTTAAACAGTAATAAAAAATTTTTAAGTAGAGTGTTAATGCCACAGTATTTACCGCCTCCTTTCCAAATAATCCCGTTTTTCAATTAAGATTACTATTGAAACACAAAAAATTTAAAACAACAATGTTGCTTTCTATTTAGCTGATCAAACATCGTGTCCGTAAACGGTCCGCAGAGTAATAGGGATGAGTCCCCAGAGTAATCAAAGTTAGCTTTACGCTCGGAGCCTTAACGCGCAAGAGTATAAATCGGCACAGTGTTCATCCATTAAGTCTTATCAAGACAACCGCAATTTTCACCCGCGAACTTGGAGATCATAAATCAAAGTGTCGCTCGATATTTGTCGGTTTCGAACTTTAAAAGTTCATCCAAGGTTATTTCGTCGAAATCGGTCGCACAGTGTCGCGTCGCGCCATTACAAGGATGAAATATGCGAAAATAAGTTCATACTGCGGCGCACCTCTTTCGCAGAGAAATTCGATCGGATCCGCGTGGATCTTGACACGATTACTGTCAAAAGAAGAAAAACGAAGGTCGATGGTCAATGTAAGTTCTTACCTATCATTTGACGCGTTATTCTCACAGCGGAAAATTTTTTTGTCATTTTCCCTCAGGGAAAGAACGACTGGCACAATCGATACAATGGAAAAAATAAACCACAAGCGATATTACTTGTCTGAACTTCCCCATTGTTCATCAGATGATATCGTGTAGAACTCTATCTATCCTGGCGCGGACAGAGATAAATATTCAATAATTCTTCCCGACGACACGTCGCGATAGGAATGCATATATTCGAAGACTTCGCATTATCCCGGCCTCCAACTTCGACAAACCATTTTATCGCTCCCCATCTCGCCTTCGATGTCTTTTGCAGTCTTCGAAAGATCCTAAAGTGGCATCGCGAATTATAGACCCGACAATGAATGAATAGAAATCCCATTTTTAAGTCGCTTAAATTTATGATATCATCACTCAGTTAAATTTATGATATTTTAAATGTACAAAAAGTAATTCACTATTTTTTATGGAATTAAATATTATATTTATCGTCAAAATATTGATATAATTCAATCATGAAAATGATACCCATTATTTTTCAATATTTTTCTCCATCTTCTAGGCAAGTTATAGATTTCTGTTCGATAGAAAGATTGGTCTTTATTTGTAATTCATCAAGCTATTTTTTTATTTCTTTGACATTTCTAAATCTTTTGTTAGACAAAAGGTGCTACATCAATTAGAACAAATAATCTGAAAGCGCTATGTCTAATGAGTATTCCGAATGCAATAAAATATCCAAATCAAGTTGTAATAGTGTACCCTTGATCAATTTCGCCATATAAATCTGAATCACAGTACGCCTTGAATAATAAAAATTGATATTAAAATGTGTCGATATAAGAAAATGCCTTGAGAAATTCATTGCACGTAAAGACCGATCTTTCTATTGAACTGGAATCTATAACTTACCTGAAAGGTGGAAGAAATTATTGAAAAACAATAAAGATTACTTTCGTAATTAAACTATGTCAGTATATTTCAATAATAAATATTAAATTTCATTAAAAAATGTGGAACGTTTTTTATTTGTACATCTAATGCGTAAACAGATTGACTTTTAATTATGATGCAACGTAAATACTAGATTGACTTTTAATTACGATGCAAAATAAATTTTCGCTAAAATGCCGAATATTTATAATAATATACACATACATTAATTTTTATTTTAATTAAAAAAGAATTGTCTCGGATGGCGGCAAAGCGAATCAGTTGTCGCAACAAATTGTCATGCCGTGCACGATCTCGATTTAAATCGATAGTTTGCGTCGTGTCATTATCTTGCGTCAAACATTCGAGCTTTTATCGCCACATTAACATTTAGCTACCGTGCGAGATACTCGCTTAAAAAATGCATCGCATGTAAGCGTGACACGTTCACCGTATCGAATCTTATCCGACATCGCCCTTCACTTTTTACGATTCTTCGACTAAGATCAAACTCAGGCAAATCTGATTGAATCAGCCATGATATCCTGCCAGCTTCCGTTAAAAAGATATCGCAAAATTGTAAGACATCGCAACTTTTAGTACGCCATTCTATTTTAACGTTTTTTGTAACGTTACTTGGTCGTGACGTAGAAAAGAGATATGAGTTATATGATCCATAAAAATGCATTTTTTTACATTATTACAAATAAAAATTTTTAATTAAAAAAGTTATGCAATATTTAATACTTTTTATTAACGATAATTAATTGGCATTTATTAATTAAAATATCGACAAATATATATGTATAGTGATTGAATATGTAGCATTTGAGGAAAAAACCATCCTTTGACATGAAATTAGCTTTAAAATTGAAAACAGAAATTGGCTTTACAATTGAACAGAAAATATAAAACATATAATATGTGAATAAAAATGATCTAAGTTACTAATTTATACCAGCAGGTATTTACTCATTTAAAATGACGTGTAAAAAGAGACCGCGCTTTTACTGGCCGGAAACACTTTCACAACAATTGCTGCGATATAAAAGAACTCTGGTATAATTGTTCTTGCATCAATCGTCCTTATAACGACGCAAAGGGAGATATCAGAGAATGACGAAACAATTTCCCCGAGCGATGCATTTTGGAGAGCTACTCTGCAGAAATATAAATCGGAACTTGACTATCCAGTTCTCTCGAGGATATTAGCCGGTACTGGCTGGTATCGTGGCGTGTGGACGGAACGGCGAGTAGTCTCAGGCGGCTTTGTCCTAAATGAGCGGAGAGAGGGCCTTTTCATTTTGAATGCATCGGAGAATCTGGGTCAATGCTGCATCCCACTCATCCATTGCGCGTTTACAGCCTCGCGCGTTTCCCACGAATAATCGGAGCAAAGTCACCAACCCTGCAGTTTTCCACGAAAGTTTGCGAATTTGTGGGAACGAACGCGATGCGCCTGAAAAAGCTCACACGATGATTCGGTCCAGCAAGTAGCCTCGTTAAGTTTACAACAGAGTGACGAGATTCTAGAGATTAATGGTCCCCGAGAATTAAGCGAGGCAGAGACGATTTAGTTCTTTTATCTTCTCAAATTTCGCAAAGCTTCCGAATCTTGTCTTAATTTGCTTCTCAATATTTAAAGTATAATTTATTACTTACAGTGACATAATTTATTCCTTCGATATACGGATTATTTAATTATAAAACATGAGGATAAATCTCATACATTAACTCGAGTGACTGTCGTATTTAGCAAATACAGTTCTTTAATGTCAATCTCTTCTAATGTGCAAATATTTAAAACGAGGATCAATCCAGTATACAAGAAATACACTTATTTCTTGAATACGAGTGTACTAGAAATAATGATATTTTACAAATATGCTTTATAGCATTGTATCGTAGTTTGTTTAAGAATAACAGAAACATACTTTACAATCAACTAGTTATTAAAAAGATCTTTGAACTTTATATTTTTTAATAATGCATATAAACCTTTTATTCGTATTCTTCAGAATTACAATGAACGTTTCATCCTAAGCATCCACTAAATAAATTTGATTTGCAAGTATTTTAGACTGAAATTAAATGATAAAAAACGTGATTCCAAGAGAAACCTATTTTCTTAAATATTTGTTTACAGGGCGAAGAGGATGAACCTCCAGAAGCCTTGAATATGGGCTGGCCAAGCAGTCCAAGAAAAAGGCTAACGTACATTTTAGTCGCGCCAATCTTATTTCCTCTTTGGTTGACGTTACCGGATACGAGAACACCTAGAGGTAATCAATGATCGTCCTTCAATATCTATTATAAAACTTCAAGCAACCTATAATAAATCATTTTTCACTCAGGTGAACATCTTCCGATTTCTAATATCATTTTTTCAATTTTAAAAGTTTATATACGTAAGATATAAGATATAATTTTAAAAGTTTATATACATAAGATATAACTGTCCTTATTAATGTGCCTTTAAGCCAACTTATTCATTACTGAATTAATTATTAAATATTACAGATTTAATTTTACCTGCTTGAAATCAATGTCGATTTTTTTTCTTGTAATATTTTTTTAATCTAATAAATGCTGTTTTGTAATGTTTTTGATAAAAATAAAAAAAATATTCTGCCTATTAATGTGACTCTCTAAGAAACGATGACTCCATTAATGTACTCTCAATTTGTGTGCCTATCCTCATTTGACTTATTTTAACATATAATTACTAAAACAGATAATAAATATAAACTAATTGTTTAAGTTAATATTGCATAATTAATATTGCATAATTAATATTGCATAATTATTATTGCATTATTTTAATTATACTTACAATTTCAATGTACACTCATAGTACAACGCTCCAATACAGGGCACACAATAGAAACAAGCTTAAAATCTTGTGATATTACTAGACTCACATAAATTCCTCTAAGTTGTGATATATATCTTTCGAAAAATGTTTACTATATTTTAACAGTTAAAAAATATAATATTGTCTTTGGTATATATATTAATAATTTAACATTATAAAAAAGAATCTTTTCTTATTTATTTGTGCTCATTTTCTTTATGGTTTATTTAAATATAAAGACACACTAATAGGAACAGTTACTCTCATACATATATGTATATGTATATACAGAATGTTGATTGATAGAATTTAATTTTCACAAAGCTCTATTATTAATCTTCAGATGTCTATATTTAATTTCTCATTGTAAGTATTTTTTAATTTTAGAAAATTAGAAATTATATATGTATTATAAAAAAATATCCACAATATGCGAAATTAAATATAGATATCTATATGAAGATTTATAATAGAGCTTTGTGAAAATTAAATAAAATCAAATTTTCTCGATCATTTGATCGATGAGAGGTAACCGAATATTTACACTAACACCCATGTTTCATCCGACCTACTCTTTCAATGTTTTCACTGTTGACTGTTCGAATAATAATATTAGGTTTTTTTCATGCTAACAGATAATCGGTCTTGAATAGAGGTAAAATGAAAATTGGAGCAGAGACAAAAGCAAGACCTTTTATCAAGTCCAAGAGCGTTTTAGCAGTTTCATTTACATATCTTGCATCTATTGCGAGATCTAAACTCCTTGAAAAATCAATTAGGATATTTATGAAACGAACGTATAAGTCTTCAAGGACAGCGAATTTAATTTTTCAAAAGTGTTTTAATCAGTAAATACGTTTAAACTTGCAACGATGACTTAATGTCTTCCACTCTGCTTTCTATCTTCATTTCGCACGGGTGCTTGTGCTCTTTATCTCTATTTTTTTATAATAATGAGATGATATTAAGACCTAGGTAATATATCAAGATAATTTCCATTCCAATTTCATAACTAGTTAATAGGAGAATATATATTCACGTGTATATTCCCCATTCGCGCTCGACTGCAATAAATTGTAAACCGCAATAGATATTCGATCTGCGTAAGGAAATATTAAAATTAGCGGGATTCAAGAATCTCACGCGATATCTAGATTTAATATTATATTATATACTTGATTATACGTATATTAATTATCTGCATGTATACCTAATAACTCACTTTGCTGATAGAAACGTGAATAATGATTTATCGTTCGCCGATAATATTATCTAAAGAGATACAGAAAAGCGTTGCAAATGCGTCATTAATTACGACTGAAAAAAAACTCTAGGCCATCATATTTTTTTTTATCTGCTGAAAAAGTCGAGATCAGATTAAATTCTATCAATCAGCGTGAGCATCGCCCAATGTTTTGCTGCCGCCCGGTATCGACCCCGTGGTAATATTAACTCAACTCCAGGAATTCAGGATTTCGAACTATCGATTTCGTCGAGGTGGAAACTTCATCTCATCAACACGAGAGACTAATTAAACGGCACTTATAGTTCACTTGCCGCATGAATTTGCATTTTACTTAGCTTACACTTTCTTATTATTGTTTGATTTGTAACAATATTTTGTCGAAGATTAGACGTAGAAAAAGAAGATAAAATATTTTTTTAAACCTCGCGATGAAGGTCGATGACAGGTTATTTGCGGAAAATGTTACGATGGTACAATTCGGTTGTTTAGCGGGACGAGCAAGAACGAACGTCTATATCAGATTCGGTATGTGCCGTGTATCGATTTAATAATAAATGCTAAGATCAACCCTAAACGAGACACGTTGCTGCTGTTATTCAAACCACCATTTATCACACGTCTCTTGCATTATCTCAGCCTATTAATGCATTTCTATCGCGATATTACACAATACGACGAAAGATGATATTGACACGCTAATTTCGCATTGGGGACTGATTGTTGCATACGTGCAAACGTATAGATGGCCATACGCACACGGTACTGATTCTATTGTCAGCTAAAATTCCGATATGTCCTTTGAATTTCAGCAATCTCAGCCTTTGATTACAGATCCATTAATATGAACGTTATCACAATCAATTATTATGGGGTTGTACGCACCATGAGACACATATGAAAAGTTGTGAAATTATTTGTTTATTAATATTTATACAAAAAGTTTGCATAAATCAAGACATTTCTTTTTACATAAGTCTCGATAAATTTTCCTGATTTTTTTTTAATAATTTCTGAATTTATAAAAACATTTACATGAAACTATCACTTTGATGCATTACATGAAACTGTCACTATTAATGCATCAATAGCACATCTCATTAAAAAATTATCAAATAATTGCTAAGATTTAACGAGAATGCAACTATTTTCATATCAAATTAAGATTTATTTTCATGGTGTAACTCTTTCCTCGAATAATTAAAACTGCCCGAGGTAAACTTAATTAATCTCACTTAAATTAAGCAAGTTATCCCATAGCATGCCTCCATTTATTCACATTATAAAATTAATAGAAAAATTTTCATTTTATATCTCCATTTTGTTATATAGACTTACCATAATAAATATAATAATAATTAAGGAAAAATCAATTTTGACAATGTTTGCCACAAAGATATGTTATATTTAGAGTATAATTGTCTACACGATATATATTAGATTTCTCTGAAAATCATTCAAAGCGGAATTCTTTTCCGTCACTCTTGAATTAAACCCTCGAGATTCGGTCATTAGGATTAGATTACGAAACGGATTAGAAATCTCGACCTTCATTCTCGTCATTGTAGCGTTAAGACACGTAAATTCAGTATTAAAGTTTGCGAACTGACGGTTCTTATTGACTAAAGTTTGTTTACCGTTATATCCAGTCAAGAAAAGACCCGATATTAGAAATTCCTTATTTAACAATTACTTCATAAATACTTTATTTTAAACAATTCGCTGTAAAGTTACATTATCACTAAATTATTAGAATAATTATCGTTTAATTATACATTTATAATCTCGATATTTTCATTTAAATTTTACTTCGTATATTTGATTTCCAAAAAAATCTTTTATTTCAAAGTATGTATTTCGTATCCAAGACAAATTATTTTTCGCATTGCATAATTTAGTTAGTCAATGTTTCATAATGATGTCAGAATGGTAATCGACCAAACACATTTAGCATACTTAAATTACTCCCGTTAATAGAAACTACAACCGAGTGATATATGCGAATGAAACGTTGGCGCCACGTGGTCGACTGCATAATTCCGAGCGAAGAAATATCCCGTGCTAACTCAGACATTGTTGTCTTTACAATTCGTGTGAGAAAAATTGTCAAAATCATTTTTTATGTCGCGCGCGATATTATCCTTCACGATGATTAATGTAATCTCCATAGTATCTTGCAGGGAATGTGTAACAGATGCCACGTGCTTAATTTTAGGGAAGAAGTTCTTTCCGATAACGTTCATCGGCTCGATCTTCTGGATCGCGGCGTACTCGTACCTGATGGTCTGGTGGGCGAATGTCGCCGGCGACACAGTGGCCATACCGCCGGAAGTGATGGGCCTGACGTTTCTCGCAGCTGGCACCAGCATACCGGACCTCATCACAAGCGTCATCGTGGCGCGAAAGGGATACGGCGACATGGCCGTGTCGAGTTCCGTCGGCAGTAACATCTTCGACGTGACCGTTGGGTGAGCATCCAAATATCTTTACTGAAATTCCCGCGTCACAACGTAATATCGTCTTACGTATCGCACGGATCTCAGTATCGCATTTTATTTCAAAATATTTTAGAAAATTTGATTTGATTTTATTGATTAGTTCATTCACACTTTGAACTTATTTAGTTTTATGTACGAATTGTCCCCAAATTCGCGACTCAAAATAGCAAGAAAGCTCTCGAAAAATTAAGTTATTTAAAAAAGGTTATTTGTAAATATTTTATTTAACTTTTCAAAAAAGGTTTCTCTTTTGCTGTAGTATTTTTAATCACAAATTTTGGGACACCCTATATACTATCATTTAATAATAAAATTTTTTATATTGAAATATTTTTTTATATTTCGTGTTAATAGTATTTTATGAATATTCATGTAATTCTGTCATTATTCTTTCTGTTTTATTTTACGCGTATTATTGTTTACAACCTCTATGTAGTAAAATATTTTTTGATTAGTTTATAAAAGTATAAAGTTTTAACTTGCTCACAGGAGAAGTTTATCGTCAAACTAAAATATTTTTGAAAATATAGTCAAAATGAAAAGAATGACAGGAAATAATATTTCATTAATATGGTGGAATAAAATTGAAGTACTCATAAAAATACAAATTGGCAAAAGATTATACTATTATATTTTCATTTTAGAGATATCGCAGCAACACATATATTTTTTATTGATTCCGTATGTAGATTTATGATATATTTCTCGATATATCATATTATACGACATATATATACAAAACAGAACTGCTAGATTTGAAATGGATAAGAAAGAGGATACTAGGAAGCAAAGATATGAAACGTCATATTGATTTTCCGATAGGATTACAACTTCGAAGAAAAAGTAAGAAAAGTTTAGTAGAATGTAGATTAGATTAGATTCATAAATTGAATGATGTAGTTGAAAGTGCAAGGAAAATGCAAGGATGTGCATACATTCTCGACACGTTTTATATTAACATTTGTGCATAAAGAAAATTATAACTAACAAGTGAATAGCACGAATAACAAAAGAGGAATACAAATTAAGAAGAAACTTTAATATTATTCCGATATTGTAATTAAAATGTGAACACTACAATTTTATTCATATGCAAGTTCAATATTTGATTAGCCTTAGTAAAAACAATAGTTTGCAAATTTTTTGTTGGATAAATAGGTACTATATCTTGTGTAATCTTAAAATATAACTATAATATTAAACAATTATGATTAGGCGCGAGGAGATGATATTAATGTGTTCATATCGTACGTAAAGATTTTTTTCAAAACTTTCTTGTGCCTTGAAAGAGCAAAACAATGTAAGATATTAAAATAATGTCGCAACTAAGAAATATAATACACTCCTGAAAGCGTCCATAGCTTTCCCTGTTTTTGAACTCGAAACCCATTTGCGTCGTACTATATTGAAGGATCGATTAACGAAAAGGGCTAGATGCCAAAGAGGTCGGGAAGCCTATTCTGGAAGGGATATCAATCTCAAATTTCAGTAACGTTAATCGTTCGAGCGAAAAGAGGAAAATAGCATGCTGGGATAACATTTAACACGGCAAAAAAATATCGGTTGGCTTGCACTGCAAATATCTAGATTTCCAATTTATTAACGGTAAAGGATATTTTGGTTTTTTTGATATTTTCTAACTTGGCATTGTTTAAACTAAAAACTAAAGATTGTTAATTAAATACTCAAATTCAATTCTGCCAATTCTCATTTACTTTCGCTTCCGTTCAGAATACATGAGAAGCATTTATCGTAATATTGCAATATTCTACATTGACTAGTGGAAGAAACGATGCTATTGTTATTCATATTGTGCATACAGGAATGTATACGCAGCCAATAGTTGGTACAGTTATATCAATGTTGTACTGAATACAATAGTATTTAGTTTCCTTTAAAATATGCAGTTACTCTGAAGATATCTCTCAGATTTGAATCATTAGTTATATACCTAATTTGGATGTAATTTATCAACATAGGTTTTAATATTGTAATTTTAAATTTAATTTGAATTAAAAATACTGAATACCATTATTATTTGAAAATTTTAATATCTCTTACATATAATCATTATTATATTTTTATCTAAACTCATATAAAAAAAATTAACTTTATCAATTATTCTCCAGTTCTTTAATTGCATCATTGCTTTTATCCTTCTGAAAATTTAAACATAATACGTAAAATTGTGCATTCTAAAAAAAAACTTTTTATTCTAGTAATTTAGAAAATTCATATCCATTCCTGCAGAATGTTTTATTCCACAATTTTTCACTAGTAGTAAGCGCGTTTGCAAGAAACTTTTTCTAATGTCATTTAATCAAAGTCAACCTTGCTCCTCAGGAAGTTGATTGACAGTAGAAATGATTACAGCTCATATAAGATATCAACGCCAGTGGAGTTCAATAGACGAATCGAACAATATCGGAATTATTGGGCTCTCCCGCACGTGTACGAACACAATGAACTTAATTGTGTAACTTATACGTAATATACACGGTTCACATCATATCTATGTCAATATCTTTACACAAATTTCATATATATCTATACACATACGTGCACATATATATATATATATATTCTTTCTCATAATACACGTTCGGGTGTGCAATACGAATCGGAATTTTGCTGATGCTCAAACGGGGTTAGAAGAGGCGTGCGGAATTGATAGCCGGACTGAACCCATCAAGGCATTCTCGCTATTTCACTGTAATCGCATTCGCTAGTCATTCCTCAGCATTATTATATTGTTAGCGCGGGAAATATCGCGAATACTGTTCCATACACCAAGACTCATTTTCCACGGTAAATTCTTGAGAATCTCTACTCGCAGAATCTCGATTCGTCTTATTACTAAAACCGCAAGGTCCTATCCTAAGAAAAAATTCTTATCTAATAAAAACGCGCAATTATTTTGTCGTGGTTGTTTCCATGTCGCATTACGTGAGTCCGAGCTTTGGACAAGTGCCAAAGTTCATTAATTTTCAAGCTCGTTAATTTGGTATCTCGTATGGTTTGCATATTTTGCTTATATTAAAGGTCTTGCTAGAAATAACGCAGATTTCGATTTCCGGAATAATGTTATTGACAAGAATTAAATGTAATAAAATTGTTTGGGAATTATTTCAAGGCCCAGATTTTTATTTATAACATTTTTTTAAACGATCTATAGTATAAAAGGCAAAAATATTAGCGATAATAATTATTGCTAGTAAGAATTAATTATTTTTCTTTACTTTATCTTTACGACTAACAATAAGATTCAATCTTTCGAAGCTGATCGCGCATCCCTTTGTGACACTTGATTTCCTGGCAATCGCACGCGAGATGAAACATCGAATCGTTCTCGTTGATGATCAATCATAGCCACGCATCCGCTGACCGATTGCCAGCTGGCAGACTGCCTGAAAGGGAAGCGGAGAAATATTTCTTCGCATTTGTATGCTTTGCGTTTATGATTGCACGTCAAACGATATATATCCAAGGCACGTCGACAGTATTGTTACAGACGAATATGAATTATAGATACTGTACTTCAAATAATATAGAACACGCAACAATCACTTACACATGCACATGTAGGTACATCTGTACTTGATCGATACAGTGGACGATCCGGTCGCACGTGCAATCATAAAACCGTAATATTCTAATAGAGTTTATAATGCCAGAAATGTAAATGTATACCCAGAAAATTTTATCGAGAGCACGTGTTACATTTCGCAACTTTATCTCGGAAACTATTCCGAATTGAACATGTACTCATATAACTTTTGTCTTCATCACGAATATTATCACTTTTCTCATCATTAATTATCCTTTTCTCCTGAATCATCCTCCTGTGCTTGAGATATATATTAGATCATAAAAATATTAATTTAGAAATTGTTGAATCATAAATTGACGAATTTAATATGACAAATAATGAAAGATTTAAATAAAAACTTATCGAAATCAGTACAATGAGTGATCAGAGATGAGAAATCAGTACAAAAAATATTCGTATAAAGGAAATTTTTATTTAAAAGGTTTTATTTGTAGAAAATAAACATTAATTAGAAATTTTGTACAATGAGTACGTTGTGTTCTAATATAAACAAAAGAGCTTTGTATGTTCCTAATTTTACAAGTTAAATTTCTCTGTACGAATACTTATTGTACGTCCAAATAATGTAAAAAATTTTTCATTTCTTTTATAGATAAGATATATATTTTTTTAATTATTACACATTTTTTTAGGCAATTTATTTTATTCTTTGTTAATAAATTGGTAATGTTTATTTTTCAAAAATAAGATTTTTTTAAAAAGTTATTTTCTCTCTGTACGAATATTTTTTGTGCCTATTATCGATAATCAAAATATTAATTGTTCATAATTTTCTATGTTGCTGTAAATGTTACAGGTCTTTTACTAGAATATACATTCTTGACATTCTAAAATTACGTACTTAATTTATGTATTAGGAGATAATAAGAAAAGAATGATAAAACATAAACGATCGGAATAGTGAAATAATTATAATCGTATCGATATGTCAGTCGAGCAATGAAAATAGGCTCGATTTGTGCTTTGATTTTGCCCACAGGCTTCCGGTTCCATGGCTCCTATACGGTTTAATCTACGGGAAACCCGTGGAGGTGAACTCAGTGGGCATGGTGTGCAGCATAGCGATACTGTTCTGCATGCTGCTGTTCGTGATCATGAGCATCGCCTGCTTCAGATGGAAAATGAACAGGGGCCTCGGCTTCACGATGTTCATCCTCTACTTCGTCTTCGTCGCCGTCTCGCTGATGTTCGAGTACGAGATACTGGTCTGTCCGGTGTAGGGCAGCCAGGACAGCGCAGCCGCGACAGCAGAGGTATTAAAACTCCTCCGGAGAAAGGATACGTCTGCGAAACGGACGCACACTTACGGGTCTCGTCATCATCATCGTCATCGTCGTCGGCGAGTCTCGGCCGACGAGAGAACTCTTCCCCGCGGTCGCCGCTTCGAGCCAAGGAGGAAACCGCGCCAGTCATTACCTTCCGCGCGCGTGAAGGGGACTTGACATTACGAACGGCAATAGTAGCACCATCTCACACCGCCACTATCACCGATCATCGAGTCTCACAGCAACTTCGCGTACCAGATTACGAAGCGTTTTGCTCTAGTCGCAAGAGGTGTATATATTGTATAAAAATCTTGAAATACCTGAAACGAAATACTCGTCTTGTTAAGGATTAACCGAGCGCGCTACTCCGTTCGAGTGCGCTACTTTATTGTTTAAGCATGGCGAGCGCGTTAGCCGATCGTGCCAAGGACCAGACTATAAGTTTATATAATCCGTGGAAGGATTTTTTGGCACAAACTTTTAAGACTCCCTGGTCTTCTTCTTTTTCTTCTTCATTTTTTCTCTTCATTCTCATCCTACTTTTTAATTGTTACTCATTAAACGACACTGTACGTGATACAAATTGATCACAGTACTGTTATTAATTCACTTGAAATTATTACAATAAAGATTTACGGAACGCTATCCTATATTCAACAATATTCTATAAGGCTATTTCTAATTGTAATCATGGGTATCGTTAGATATCGCTTGATTCGTGCATTTATCGAAACATCACGTTTTTCGAATATATCTATAATAGCAATAATGTTAGACTTAAAACGCGATGTTACCAATAGTGTACAAAATGTTACCGTATAAGGTCTTCTCGTTTGATTCCTTGGCACGCTCACGTCTGACTATTATACATAACGTTATCCTTGAAAGAAGTGACCTGACCGCTCGCCGATTTTTCTCTAAAGCAAGAATTCTCTTCGCCTCTAATATCATAGAATAGCGTTGTAACTTCTCTCACTCTGTTGTACTCACGGAATCCAATCTGCGGTGCGGGGTTCGGCGTTCCATTTTGACGACGAAACGGCACTCATGAATCTCGAGTGCCGCGTACGCCAGGTGCACATTTCAGGCAAGTCACATAACTTTATATATTTTCGTTAACCAAAGTTACTTATAGTATACTATAATATGTACTACAATACATATTATGCATTATGCAAAAAATTTTTTGCCGTAAACGCAGAAAATGCTTCAGTGCTTTTTCGCGTTTTGTATCTTCAATATTTAACAATCATTTTGAAAAATTAAAATAAAAGCATGTTTGACTGTTTAATAAAATAACGTTCTATATTACTTTATTAAATGTTCTACATTCGTGATATTACGTGAAAAGCTTGATCAAAAAGTTTTCAAATATTGATTTATTAAATTAATGTGATTCAAATACTGGCACTCACGTCTTAAATGATGAAATGGCTGATCGTCGCACCGGATTTTCAACATACGATCGGAACGGATGTTGTTGTTGATACGTGAATAAGATAGAATAGCGAAAAATATTATCTGTTTGTTATTATTTTCTTTGCTTTTGTTTTGATAAATCGCTGGCAGATTCGCAGGGAAACGCAGGAAACGAACTGATTTATTTGAATAAAAAAAAATGCGTTCATTGTTGCATAGCATTAAAATTTAATAAAATGTAATTACTTGTTTATATAAATTATTCATTTAAAAAAAAAGCGCGTTTCCGACCAATTAAGCTTCCATCCTTAAATGTTATTACATTTAGGAAATTTATTACATGTTTTTACGAAAAATTGTGTATAGTAGAACCAAATTTTTTATTGCTGATCAGTGTAAAGTTGAGTCACGAATACAAAGAAATATCTCGTTCATGTAAGACATTTAGATCCGATTCCGAACGTGTTTTCTCTTAAATACAATGATTATTACTACGTAACTATAATCTGTAAGCGACATGCAAAAAACAGACTTTCTTAAGCGCATATAAAAAATTGTTGCAAATCATATACTCGAATTGGTGCATCATGTAAAGATTCTAAAGGATCACTTGAGAGTATACTCGTGTCGCTCGCTAATGCATCTTACGCGCGATCGAATCCTCGTGCGATATTTTCTCTACATAGAACAAGAGATACACTGCAGATATTTGCACGTGAAATGTAACGTTATTATGATACGCTCTTACGAAGCGAAAAACAAATGCCGACATTGAACAAATTAGACATTGCACTTTCCATGATGTTCCACGTCAGCTTGATACTCTCCGAGCAGTTATTTTTTTGCTAACTTCTTTCAAGTTTTCGATATTGCACTATAACACTCTATTAAGATATTGTTAGAAAATATGATTATTATTATGGTTATTACATGTACACAGTGATGGTAAACGGGTAATAGAATGAACAAGTTCATATAGGTGTGTATGTGTGTGAGGTTGGGAGAGAGACAGAGAAAGGGAACGAGAAAATGAGAGAGAACGACGGAATTAAAAAGAAAGAAAGGGAGGAAGGAATATAGGAACATGTATAATTGAGGCATGATAGAAGTCGGGCGACTTTTAATCCAGGTTACAGAATCCATGTTGTATAAAGCGTTTATAAAGAATACGTTTTAAGGACATAGAGGTAATAATTATAATATGATATTGATTATATTACATATACGAGGTGAACAAAATATTATTATACATACCTACAGTTTGAAAAAGAAACAATATTACATTTTCGGTAGTCTGAACGCCTAAAAGCGGCCTAGCTTTTTATTAAGCCTACAGCTAATGCAAAAATTGATCCGCGAAGAATATAAAGAAGAAAAAGACCACAATAAAAATACCGTCTACGTTAATCGGTAGAGCGAATTTTAGATTATCAAAATCACACGTATATATACATATAATAAGGAGAGAGAGAGAGAGAGAGAGAAAATGAGAGAGAAAGAAAGAGTATGTGTGCACGCGTCTATGTGTCTCTAAGTGTGTGTGAAAATTCGGCGATGAAACATACATTAATTATATATTATATTAAACGTTATATTTGTCGCATTTTGTATGATCTCGATATTGGAAGCAAAGAGAATGGTTTTTCCATCTCGCAGCTTATGTTCCAGAATTTGCGTCGTACATAATTCGCATGTGTGATAAGTAATTATTACGTTTAGCCTTCCGACGCTATGTCTATCTGTCTCTGATCTCCCAAATCATAACTGTGCAATCCAGTTCGTGCATTCGATTATTAAAAAAATTTTGTAGTCTCTCCTCTCTCTCTCTCTCTCTTTCTCTTTCTCTCTCTTTCTCTTTTTCTCTTCGCGATGCTTCGATCCCTCAAGCGACGAAAAGCGTCATGAAACTTCTGTGCCCAAAGACAGGAGAGACCTAGAGACTATGATCCATGGAGAGACTAAAATTGACCGATGATACGTGAAGTTAGTTAACGATATCAGAAATTAAGGAAAAATATCGCGATCATGAAAGATCGTGATATCAATATCTTTCATATAACAAAATTCCGTCATGATCTTTCAGTTATATACGTTCATTTTCTTTTACGCGACACATAATCGATTATGGGCGACAAAGAATGGTTTAACTACAATGTTAAAACTTTAAAGAGATAGTGCAGATAATTTGCAGCTACTAACAGAATGTAAACTATTATGGTTACGACACGAAAACAAACAATGACAGTAATCGTAGAAACAATGCGGTCTTCTCGAATTACCACTACTTAAGATAACGATGCCTCTTTTTATATGACAGAGTTCTCAACATTACGCTAAGACAATGCATTTTGTCGACATGGCAATCCTCTCTTTGCCGATTAATTATTAAAAAAGAAAAAGAAAGCTCATTTTTGTTTTTCTGAAATTTCATTTTCCAAATAATGTAACTATTTTGAAATTTTCGCATAAGTGATTAGTCACATAATCCTACATCAAATTTCTTATCAATGAATAAACTATAACTTGGAAATATCGTGGATGAAAAAAAGAGTACCGTTCTTAAGTAGTAACAAAAACAAACTTTGAAGACGCGATCAGACTCTGTAAATGGAAATCATGATAGGTCAGAGCGAACGAATAAACTTTAACACAGCAATCTGACAAAAATCGAACGTGTTAACTTGTGGCAGGCCGCCCTCGGATTTAGCAACGATCGTCAGTGGAAAACAATGTTAGGTTTCTTCGTGACGTTAAACATAAACGGGGAAATGTGTAATGGGGAAACGCCGGAGAGTGCAGTATCGAGGTGTTTTACGCCGTAGTGTGCGAGGCACGAAAAGGATTAGTCTGTCAGTCGGGCGAAACAACGAAGGCGGATTAACGGCGAATCGCGTGATAAGTCGAAGGTCGGATCTGAGGGCTCAAAGCGCAGCAGTGTTCGTGTAATTTATGCTTTGTAATATAATATAGTAGGACAAACATCATCGACGTTGGTAAAGCGAGACAGCTCGTTTTGGTTTCGAGTGTCGAAACATTTCGATTCGAGGGATCAATCATTTAAATGATACGCGTGTAAAAAATGACTTGCTTGGCAATTAGTTTACCTAAAAAAAAAACAAGACGAAGAAGAATGTGTTTGAATGTACGTGGAATGCCGTTGACTGCGATACTTTGGCGACTCTGAGGATCAGTTGCATATGAAATATGTACTATATTAGTACATCAGAGCGACCGATCTCCAATCCTTACATTGTCGAATTGTCAGATATATGCACATATATTCGCATGAAGATAGCGAAAGAGAGAGAACCCAAATAGAACAACAGATCACGAATGACCAAAATGACGTTAAAATAAATCGTAACTGATCGAAAAGTGACTTTTAATAATCATTTTGGAATAATTTTGACATCATTTTGATGTCATGATAATTTTTGTTCTGTTTTGGAAAAAAGAGAGACAGCAAAAGATAAAAGTGGAGAGAGAGAAATAGATTTGATTTCTCTCTCACGCACGCATGCACGCACATACACGTCTAAAAACTTTGTGTTCGAGACATACGCGACGAAATGAGGTATGTTTGTGAAAGATTAAAATTGTACCGGTTTGTCTAAAAAGTTTGTTAAAATGCAACGCATAAATAAAGCTCTTCGTTATTACGTGGGATTCATAGCAAAGAACGAGAATGTACGGAAACAAGCTCCCATCGATTAATGTATTCAACCCGAAACAGTATAATCGCTAACCGATAAAGACCTTTATTCTTAATTAAGAGCGCCGTAGAAGCTTTCTGGAAATACAATCTTCTTTTTATATTTACAAACGCTTCATTTCCAAACGTGGCTTTCGAAACTTTTATTCGCGTAGTAAAAAATAAACTCTTATTGTTATAAAATATACACATATATATATATAAAATTCGTTAAACTCTTTTATATTTTTATGTGAATGCAATACGTTGTACTGTTTAGAGTTGATGGTATAGCTGTTATCTTACGAATACGGAACCCGTCGCGCGCTCATAAGGACGCTCCAAACTTAGATTTTAAGCGACATTAAGGATTTAGTTGGTTTCATACTTTGTAACGTAGCTTTCGAGAAACATAGAGGAATTTTTACATCGTGACAAGATCGGTAG